TCCTTTTCCTTCTTATCAAACACCCAGTCAGCATTCACATTTTCGTGTCTCATGAATACCATAATTTTATTTATTTACAATATTATTTTTTAATCAAGGTCCAAATAGGATTTCTACATTGTACTGGGTCAATATATTTTTCATCTACAGCTCCCCCCACCACCCTTTTTTATCTTTGCTATTTATTCGTTGAAGAACGGTTTCCTAGCTTGGATTTTGCTGAATGCTTCCCTCTGGTATCATTTAATAGCATGTCGCCACCACATTTGAGAGGTTCCTCTGCCGGATTCTAAGCATATTGAGGTATGAAGCCAAGGAATGGCAGGTGGGGACCCAGAGTACCAGCTCTGTTCCTGGTAAAGACCAATGAGAGGGCCCGTGGCCTGCAGTGAGCCCTGGGTCACCTCGCCCACTCAGTCATGGTGCCTCAGGTCATATGCAGCAGGACCAGTGGGGGGCTTACGGCTAGCTTCTCCCCTAGGGAGGATCAAGTGAGGGGATGCAGAGGCCAGGAGTCCCACCCAGAATGAAATGTAGAGACGGGGGAAGGAGTGGTCCCTCCACTCTTACTGCATGCTGAGGGCTTTATTCATATCACCATGACAACCCTTCCCCATCCCTGCTTACAGAGGAGGAAACTGAGGCTCAGAGGGATGAGATGACTTGTCCAAGTTCCCATTATTAAGAAATGACAGAAGTAGGCTCAAATCCTGGTCTACTGCCTTACCTTCACTGGGATAACCAGCCAGATGTGGGTGCTATGCTCAATTTGGCAGGCAGGGCTAAGGTTCAGCCAGTATACCCCTCTACAGCCAGTGGGTAAAGGGCTGCTGGCTGGGGCCTGGGGAGTCTCAAGTGGGCCCTGTGAAGGGACGAGCCTGGTGCCTGTCAGTTCTCCAGCCAGCACTCTGGGGGCTCAGACTCCAGCAAGTGAGCCAGCACTCACCCCTGGCAGCAATGCATTACCCCTAGTCAATGCCGGATGCTCATTTAACCCCCAAAGCTGTGGCTGCCCACCGCCCACAGAGCCCCCTACCAAGGAGCCCCCCAGTGGCCGCCTATGGGAACTGCAACCTCCTCTGCCTCCCTTACCCGTAGTTACATGTTCTGAATCTCGACCCTGCCCACAGGAGACCTACCTGATGAAGCACATGTCCAAACACACGGTGGTGGAGCACCTAGTGAGCCATCACTCGCCCCAGAGGACGGAATCCCCCGGTATCCCGGTGCGAATCTCCCTCATCTGAGCCCACCCGAGGCACCGCCCCGCCTGGCCCACTGGCAGACACAGACCCAGGCAGCACCAGGCCCCGACACCCTCCAGGGGCCCTCCAGGATCGCCGAGCTCTCTCATGACCTTCCCAGCCTTCCAGAAAGCTTGGCTCACAGAAGCCCTGCCTGGTTCTGCTCTGGGGGCGGCCAGGCCAACTGCAAGATTCTGGACCGTTTTGGTGGCATCCAAAGACGATCTCAGAGCACTTTGAACCTCTCTGTTGGGTTTTCTTTTTGTTCCCCACCCTTCACTTGCTTCACTGTTTTTTTTTTTTTTGTTGTTGTTGTTGTTTGTTTTTCGTTTTATAAGTTTGTTTTGGAAATAACAAAAAAGATATTTATTGGCCAGGAAGCTGGTGCTGCTAAGACCGAGAAATTAAAAGAATCAAGCAGATGGATGCAGAGAACCAGAGGGCAGTGTGGGACCTTCTCGTGCCATGGCCTCAGGTCTTGAGGGAAGGCTCAGGTGTGGGTTTCTGGACTGCAAAGGGGACCCCCCAGGTGGGAGGGGGCAGGAGGCAGCTGGAGTGAGCCCCTCACCCCTGGGTGCTCAGCTCGTACCTCTCGAGCTGAGCCCTGGGCATCACTGAGCAGAGGGATACGGCAGCTATCAGGGCTGTCCGGGCTTCAGGAGGCAGAAACGAGAGGGGCGGGGAGATCTGTAGGACCAAAGGGTGCAGTGATGGGCTGGGTGGCGGGCCCAGGGAAATGGGGTGAGAGTGGGCTGGGTAAGACCTGGTCCCTCTCTGCTGCCCTGAAGACCACCCCAGTCTACCTCGGTGCTGGCCAGGAAACCTATAGGCTACCTCTCCCGCCATCCCAGACTGTGGGCAGGGGGATGGGGAGGGAGCGGGCCCGGGGCTAGGACCCCCCTCCAGAATTTCCTCCAGATGGGGGCAGTGCCCAGGGAGGGGTCGTTTGTCTTCCCTGCCATGGAGGGGGAATCCCCAGCCCAGGCCCTAGGCCCTAGGCCCCTCGGCAGGGAAGGGATCCTCGGGGAGGAGGGTCCCAGGAGCAGACCCTGCCCCCAGCCCCCACAGACACACCCAATCTGAAAGCCATGCGTGTCCATGTATATAGGAACCATGTACAGAGCCCGGAGAAGCCCCCTACATCCCCCCGGGAAAAAAAGAAAACTAGACAGAAACTCATCTATATATTCTGTATCTGGAGTTCCATTTTGAATATTAACTGTGTTATTTTTATACACTTTTTAAGCCTTAACTCGCCATTGATTTACCAGTTTAATGTTTCCTGGGGTTTCTTTTCCCATGGGGTTCTCTGCCCCCACCCCCACCCCTTTGTTTGACTTGCGTCATCTGATACTCAGTATTGTAGCTTTTTGTCCGCATGTTACTACCCTGTAAATATGCTGTTATACATACTGTTAACACCCCTTTGCTTTTTTCTATGGGACCTCCAGGCCACCGTATTTAGAACTAGTTACCTTATTAAAAAAGAGAAAACAGTCATTGGCTTCTCAGTCTGCATCTTGGTGGCAGGGAGGTGAGGGCAGGTGCCCCTGAGACACTTCGGAAAAGAAGTTTTGCATTCTATTTAAACAAGGGGGTGGGGAGCAAAATAAAAATCAGATATGGGGGGAAAACACTAAAGGGGGCAAGAAACAAAGGAATTACAAACCCTCTGCTCTTTGTATTTCTCTGTTGTGAAGAATAAACTGTACCTGCACCCGGGTGGCGGCGGTGTGTGGTGTGCTCTGTGCGAGGGCAGGGCTGGGGGGCGCCTTTGCACTGCTCCTCTCCCCTCCCCCGCCCCCCAGCTCGGGGAAGGAAGGAAATGGCCCCTCTCTGTGAGCCAGCCTTGCTCCACGGGCTGAGCTGAGTGCTTTAGTTGACTGCCTCACAAGTCACCTAAAAGTAGCAAACCAAGGGAGGCTTTTGGCTGAGGATCAGGCTGCAGTGAAATGGCAGGGTATGTCTAGTTTTGAAGTCTGTTTAGATGTACTGGGTCCACCAATGAGTCTCACTTCCCCTGCTCCCCAAGGGGTACTACACCCCTTTGGGGGATCCATCAGTGCTTGATTTATGGAAGCTATTCTAGTGATTGGGGGGGATGGGCCTCCTCACATACATTTTTCTCTATGGGGATCAATGTTTTGATTACCTAGGAGGGAAATGAAAGAATTAATTCCCCCAAAGTTTATTAAGGCTGGCCCTGTGGAAGCACTGTGGGTGACTCAGCCATGAGTCACCACGTAGCTCATTATCGGGAACATTCCTCTGAGCCTTCCCAGCCTTGTGTGTCAAGATTTGACTGAAAGTGATAGAAAGTACGATCCAAACGAGGGTTTATTGGTTGGTGTAACAGGACAGTGGTCAGGCTAGTTTCAGGTCTTAAAGGGTGTGTGTCCAGCTCTCCACTCAGCTCTGTTCTGAGTCACCTGCACCCTATAATAGCAACCAATTTACAGGGTGGATGTGAAGATTAAATGACACATATCTGATGCTTAAACAGGGCCTGGCACATTGTAAGTACCCAATAAACGTACATGTTGCTATTGCTATTGTTTGAGTTGGCCCTAGTGGATCTATGTTCCTCACGATCAATGATCCCTGATTAGGACAGCTGAAGATGCCCTGGAATTTCTGAGGGCTGTATCTGATCTGGCAGGGCAGGGTAGGGTGGCTGGGTCAGGTGAAGATTTTGCATGTGGCAATGACACTCAGGGGACTGAGAATCTGGTTTTCACCTGCTCACCTGGGGACTGTGTGAGCACTATTGTCCTTGTGGGCCTCAGGATAGGTGCTGAGGACAGTGTTGATGGCCATAGGGGTAGCTGCAGAAGGAGCTTTATCTCCCTTGTTATTCCTGCTTCAGACCCAACTTCCTCTATAGCCCCACCCTGTCCTTGGGTCTCTGGGCACCCTAGGAGAGAGCCATTCCCAAGAGGTTGCCCACCCTGCTCTACCCTGCAGCTTCCTTGAACACCTCCCCCTTCTCAGGAAGGTCACCATCAACAGCACAAGGCTGCCCCTAGCCCAAGACCTGGAAACTCCTGATCGTGCCTTATATTCCCCTTTAAATCAGGAAATGACTGTTTTGGAATACCTTTTTATTTCATAGTACTTAAATATGTACACACTGTGCTTATGGGCAGGGGAGATAAAAAGGCAGAGCCAATGACAGGAATGCCACTGTGTTTCTCCCTCTGTGACTCATGCCCAGAGGCAGCCCTATTTGGCTTGAGGGGCCGGTTCTGGCTCTCCGGCTGCTGACATCACAGTGACTCAGTCAGATCGTCTGTAACCCTGTTTCCTTGGGCAGTTATGTTCCCTCTTTATGCCTCACTCTCCTTATTAAAAAAGGGGGGGTGGGGAGCTGAATTCAGCGAGGTCAGAAGTGGAAGGCCTATATGCTGCCTGCCAGAGGCACTACTGCGCTGTGCTTCAGACACCGTTGAAAGTGAAGGAAGGGGTCTTTCTCTTCAAGTGACAAGCTCCCAAAAGGCCAAGACCTCCTACTCCCACCCCCACGGATGGGTACACCTGGGAGAGGGTGGGGCTTTTTTCTTCTACATCTCCCTGCCCTCCGAAGTGCCATGCAGCTTCCAGAAGGGAGTCCCCCTGGCTTCGGGGTCTCTCCTTCCTGTAGCTCCCACTCCACACCCTTCCAGTGCCAGAGGTCCCTCCGCTGGTGGGGAGAGGCCGGGCAGCTGGGCCAAGAGGGGGTGGGGGACAGGCAGTCCCCGGGGCGGCCCCTTGGCGGCGCTAGTCGCGCAGCAGCGTGTACTCCTTGGGCGCCCAGAGCAGGCGCGGGCGGTGGATCTCGGTCCGCGGACCGATGTCCGGGCTCCAGCAGTACTCGGGCGACAGCACCTTGGCGGGCTTGTGCAGCCAGAAGAACTTGTTGAGGTGGCTCTCGTCGTGCCAGCGCGCCTCGAGGCCGCTCGCGCGGTCCCGCTGCATGCCCCGCGCGCAGTGCGCCGTGAGTTCGCGCAGCGCCGCCACGCTGCCCCCGAACACGGCCGCGTGGTAGTAGAAGTCGCCCTCGCCCGGCGCCAGCGCGGCGGCTGAGCGCGCGTTGCGCTCGAAGGGCAGCAGCCGCCGCCGGCGGCCCGCGCCCAGCAACACGCGCGGCACGGAGGCCGGCCGCTCGGTGAACACGTAGTACACCACGCGCTGGCCCACCATGAAGTGCTGCTCGGCCGTCTCCAGGAAACGCGCCAGGTACTTCTCCAGGTACCTGCGGGGCCGCCAGAGTCAGCCCGAAAGCCCCGCCCCGCGTGGCGTGTGCGGCCTGCCCGTCCCCCACCCCCGCTCCCGAGGCGCCCCCACAGCAGCCGTGGAACCCCCGAACCGTCCGGTGCTCCAGTCTTTCACTTTGAGTGTGTGTGTGTGAGGGTGTGTGTGTGTGTGGGGGGGTCCTGAAGAGATGGGGCACTCCCGAGGCGTCTCCACAGCAGCCGTGGAACCCCCGAACCGTCCGGTGCTCCAGTCTTGCACTGAGAGTGTGTGTGTGTGTGAGAATGTGTGTGTGTGTGTGCGTGTGTGTGTGTAAGGGGGAGGTGCCCTGAAGAGATGGGGCGCTGCACTCCCTCTATTGAGTATGTTTCCCCTGACTGCTTGATCAGCAGAGTACCTAGGAAGTGACGCTGTGCTGACCCTTTGGAGGACTGTCCCGTTTGCCTCTCTAGAGCTTTGAGCCTTCATTTCAGAAGTCCCGAAACATTGGTGCTGCTTTGATGCGAGGTCGCCCAAGCTAGCCGTACGGAGGGGCTGTGTGGGGAGAGAGGGTGTCCCACCAGTACTCAGCAGTTGGTCTCGCAGTTGAAACCCAGATGTTTGGGGGCAGTGAGGAGCCCTTCCTGTGAACCCTGTCTGAACTTCTGACCCAAAAAATCATGAGATACAATAATAATATGTTTTTTTTTTTTTTTTTTTTTTTTTTT